TGGTCAGTTTGGGTCAGCTGTCCTCGCTGTGCTCTCCCAGCTTCTTGGGCACCCCCAGCCTCTCCACTGGCAGAGCAATATGGGAAGCTGAAAGGTCCTTGATTTAGTGTAGGCACTACAACTACCTAGCAACAACTGAACATCAGTGTGTTAGCAACTTTATTCTCATCCTAAATCCCAAACACAGCACTGTACCAGCTACTAGGAAGAAAATTAACTCTATCCCAGGTGAAACCAGGGCAAAACTATACTGGGACATTGAGTGAAAATATCTGCAGTTTACTTCATCTCTTTCCTAGACATAAACAACTTTTTAATAAAGTAGTTTTGGTATTAGAAACCATGTTAGTGTAAATAAGTAATAAAAATGAGAGCAGAACTGAGTCCTTTCCTTGGTAAGCTTGTTCTTGATCTGATATCTACAGATCCCTGGGTTTCTATAAAAGCCTTCTATGCTGAAGGGCTGAGGACTGAAAGCCCTTGGGATCTGGATTTTTGTGTTATAAAAAAGTTTTTTTACCAAGACTGTGTTGAAGTTTGGTGCACTTTGGTGCAGCATTCGTTCATGATGTGATTATTGCTCAGCGGCTGAGTAGTTAAGTCAGAGATCATACTTCAGTGCATGTGCAAAAGCTTTGTTAGATTAATGATTTCAATGACGACATTTTCTTATGTGGCTAACTGGGTGGCGTGATGTGTTGTTTGACTGAAATCTTACCTGTTATGTTCTATTATTTTATTTATGTTTTATTTATTCACTTTAAACAAGAAAACCTTATAATGCACATTAATCTCTCCCTCTCCTTTAGTTTTAGATGATCATGCACCTCAATGCAATTGCACAACAACAACTCTCTGTTCAATATTTTCTCAAGGAATATATTACCTATACCCCTTTAATATAGAGTACCACATCCTAGCATCCACGATGCTCTATGTCCTGTGGAAGAACATTGGCCGCAAAGTTGAACACCATCAGCAACACAAAACTCCATTCAAATTCCACGGCATAACTGTCGGAATGATTTTTGGACTAATCGTGTTAACTAGCACAATAGCCATAGTTGTTGTGTATTTAATTCAGATTGGAAGTTCAAAAATCAAAAGCGAGTTAGCACTTACTATGTTTTACTTGCATGCTATCTTTGTATTGGCTCTCATGTGTACAGCTGGAATTGTTGCCCTTCTAATCTACAGACTAGAAGATAGATCGTTGGATAATTCAAAAAATCCTGCTCGAAAACTTGATGCAGAGCTGCTGGTGGGCACAGCCGCAGGGTCCTGGCTCCTCTCCTGGGGCTCGATCCTCGCCATTATCTGTGCCCAAGCTCATCCCAAATACACGTGGTATAACCTGCCCTACTCTGTCCTGGTTATTATTGAGAAATATATTCAGAACCTCTTTATCATTGAATCCATACACCGGGAGCAGGAAAAGGTGAATGACGATATTAAAACTCTTCGAATAGTGACTATATCTCGGGGGAGCACTTTATCACTTACCCCCTCGTACAAAGAGATTTACAATGGCGGAGCCGCTCGTGACCATGGGGAGGTACCCTGCCTGTTTAAGGGCAGTATCTGTGGGAGAGAAAATGATGGTGGTGGTGGTGGTGATGCCAAAGAAGAAACGAGTCAGGATAAGAGTTCGGTCATGCATTCAGCCTCAGATTTCTCATTTTACGGTAGAAACTCAGTTACTAACAACAAGAGGAGAATTCTGAAGAACATCGCTGCATTTTTATTCCTATGCAATCTTTCGGTAAGACATTTTGAACATAATTCACAAGTTAATACCCAAAAGCTTCCCAACCTTTCAAGCCAGATAAGTATATTAAAATTACATGGTTCTATAGTTTGTAGCAAGTAAATTTTACTTCTTCTGGAAGAATAAGTGAATGTGCCTTTGGGGAACAAAGTTTATTTAAACATGGAATCTGGGAGCCTAGACTTGTTTTAGTCACAGTACAAAAACTGTAGCAGCAGCAGAAGCTGAAACCCTCTTCCATCAGTGTGCCCCAGTACCAACAGGGAGGGGTTTCTCAGAGATTTCTGAAACCAAACTGCAGTTCGATGGGGTCACAGTCATTAAGGGCTAGTCACTCGTATCGCTGGTGATTAATATTGGCCTTGCGTTCTTTCCTTGCAGCTTTGGATACCACCGGCATTCGGGTGCCGCCCGGAATATGACAATGGACTAGAAGAAATAGTTTTTGGCTTTGAACCCTGGATAATTGTTGTGAACCTTGCGATGCCTTTTTCCATTTTCTATCGGATGCATTCAGCTGCCTCACTCTTTGAGGTCAATTGTAAAACATAGATCATATATGGTCCCTCGGTGAACAATTGATTGAATAATTAATTAAATAAATAACATTTGAATGGGTGGATGAATGAATGAGTGAGCATAGCAAGAGCTGCTCAATAAATAGAAGATTTTTTTTTTTTTTAAAGAAGGGACCATAGCTAATAGCATGTAATTTTTTTAATTATTTTTTCTTCCACATATTTCGTGATATATGTGATGTTATTGTATAGGTACACTTTTCAGAATCATATTAGTGTTAATATGATTAACACTACATAGTAAAGTTAAATAGATCTCATTAATCTTTGTTTTAGTCATCTGGAATTTGTCCTCTATATAATTTGTATTGCTTTGTTTTCATTCATTGTGGTTTGTGAAAGGAGTTAAAAAAAAACAACTGTATGACTTAGGAGGGAAAATCTGAGGAACAGCTAAACTGAGTGATGGTACTGAATCACAGAGATACTATGAAAACTCCAACTCTTAATTCCTAGCTATGTTTTTATAGTAAAACCTGAAAACATTAGCTGTGAGATTGGGATGTAGGAATTATTTTAAACTTCCTGAATACCGGTAAAAAAATCAATATATAATTATTATTTTCTTAAGTATATAGCAAAAATCCAGGTAAATAACATGTATGGTTAGGTATCATGCTCTATGCAATTTCTTCTGATAAAATATATTTCTATTGATGCATCCTCTTGTCTTGTATTTACTATAGACATAACTGGGAAAGTTAATCCTTTTACTTAATTCTTTATTCACACATCCTTGAAATATTTTAAGAGAGAAAACTAGTCTTATAGCTTATATTTAGGTGTATACGTTCCATTGCCAGAATGGTATATATTCCCTGTATAATTTTTCTATGAGCTGCTAATTTATTTGTATGTCAGTCTCCTGGTTGGAAGATAATAATATGTGTTCATACAGGGATGCCGTAAAGCATAGGTGATGCCTCTAGAAATCCAGAGAGCCCTTGGCTGAGGGTTTTACAAGCGTGGTTTACAAGCTCTTAGAACATAATCTCAAATCCTTAGGATATTTAGTTGCCTGAATTCTTACAGAAAGCAGTGAAAAGCTGGATGCCTGAATATTCTCAGAATCTGCACCTGTAAGATTGGAAGACTGGAGCAATGACCAGAATACTAAAAGGGAACAACAGATCAATTACTGGATAAGCCTCACTAATGATCTAGTCCTAAGCCTGGTGGATCAGAGGCTGCGAAATTTCTGCCCCTAGCTCCTAAGAGGACAGTTATACTTTTAACCACAGTTGCCACCACCATCTGCCTGGAAGCAGTCATATTTCTGCATGGGAAAGGTCTGCTTCTGAGACAGAAGATCTCAGCTGTCTGGTCTGCTCTCACACCTCCGAACAAAATGTTTGGCTTTGCACCACTAGATGGCAAACGCAGACCATTCGATAAATTACCCGATTACTTGTAGGAGTTGCTTCCCATCATCATCAATCTTCAGTTCTATTTTGCGGAACACACAGCCATTACCTGCTTTACCTGTTGCAAAACTCAGATCAGGTGAAGCAACTTTCATCTGAAGTACCAGGTGAAGTCTGAGTTAGATGAACCATCAGCGAGGCTGAGCGTAACGCCTGTGCTCCTGAAAGCAATTACGGTTGTTCAATTTTAAATGTTTTTTAAAAGAGTCACAATCTGAGTTGCTGTAATCTCTGCCTCTCTCTAGAGCTGCTTGTCATGCTCTGCTATCACATCTCTATTAATTCTTACATTCATTCTAGGCACTAATATTTTCTATCTTTCTCCTTGAACACAGTAGCTTGATCTCACCTACTTCCATGCAAACACCAGCTTTAACCACTTGGTTGTCTCTCAGGCTGGTTCCATTTTAAGTAGAGTGAAGAGGGCCATCCAGCTAATCAAATAAAGCTTTAATCTTCCTTCCAAATCAATTCTTGGACCAATTCTACAGCTAATTCTGGTATCAGAAAAAATTAATTTCACTAGGTAAGCCCACAAATTCCACTTCATCTTTTAAGTCCTCATAAAGATGGCTAGAGGAAACCTGTTTCTTCTTCCTCTGCTTCTGTGGGGTAGGTCCCATGTCATTCTTCAGCTGGAACTGGTGCTGTTTAGCTGATTCCCAGTATGTGTGTTCAACCAACGCAGAGCTTGCTAATCCCTAGGGCCAAGAAGGGGCCATATGCTCTACTACAAACATGTAGCAAACATTTGGAAGATTCAAAAATAAATAACATCCTTATTTAGTTATATTTCATCTGCAATTACTTAGCGTTTTCTGGCTTTTAACATCGCTATTGAAATAATTTCATTTGTCCACAATATTAAATTGATTTTGAGTGCTGAAATTGAGCTTTATTCAGAAAAGTGAATTAAGGCAGCACTCTGGCAGTGAGTAAATGCTTTGAACATGCTAATGGGCAAATTCTACTCTGAGCTGCACTGATGAAACCCTGCTGACTTAAATGGTTCTGTTTCAGGACCAGAGACTTGATTTTGGCCTGAGAAGCTTAAGAGGTTTTCACGGCAGGACTTTTCTCAAAAAAATATTGTTTCATCCAAATGCAGAATATTTTATGGAAGCAGGTCTTAGTTTAACTACTGTTGAAGCAATGGTGAGTCATGAAGTTCTGAATACTTTAGACACATAGAGTTTTAAGAAACGTAGATTTTTGGACCAGGCACAATAATCAGATTGTTTAACATAGTGTGATCTCTAACTCTCTGATCAATGCTAAACCTGGGCTTTTTTAAATGGCTGCTTTCAAACGTCTCGTTTGTTTTTCTCTAGCATATATCGACGATACTAATTTATCACAGGGTTTAAAATATAAGAAAAAGCACGAAGTTACCCTATTTCTGCCTACCTATCTGGTCAAGCATGTGACAGGAGGCAGGAGAGCTGGCTTACCCAGGAGAGAGGTCTAACAGCTGCTGTTGTGTTCCTGAGTTATGTCTAGGGGACAGCTTGTCTGCTTTGAGATTGCCAGGGAATGTCTTTGAGAGCAATTTAATACTACTTTAAAAGACTTTTTTTTTTTTTTAAAAATAATTTCTTTAGTGAAGTCCAAAATGCACTTGATATGTAAAGGATTCTGAATTTTTGCTGCATAATCTTAATCAGAAAGCTATTCTCTGATGTTCATCACATCCTTCTGCTAGACCTTTCCACTCCCTCCCTTCCTCCCTAGATAATTTTGTTTATTCAATAATAAATTCTTGGGTAGCATTTAAACCCATATATGTAAAGGCATAAAGGCTGCTAATGTGCAAAAAGATTCCTACAATCCTTAAGCATTTGCCTGAAGAGTCAAACTTGCATGACCATAGATTTTTTCAAAGTATTTTTTAATGTCAGTGATGCTAAGTCTAAGATGGAAGAAGGTGGAGGTGTCATGGTCAAGTCTTTCTAAAATAACAGAATTCCTTTACTAGTATTTCTAAATAATTTGAATTTACTCTTTTAATTACTTAATTGAATTTACTCTTTTAATTACTTTAAAAAAATTTCAATGACTTTTTTGGAAATATTCTTGTGTTGTATGACCCATTTGTGGTCCATAGCCTTTGAGTGGACTGTAGCAGTGCAGAGGAGTAGACGGCTCCAGAGAACAGCAGAGAGGGATATTACTCAAGAAATGCAAATACATGTTTCTTTTCACTGGCTAGAAAATTTAAGATCCTTATGAGGATAATTAGTTCATTTAAAAAAAAAAAAAAGCTGACTGTCTCTTCCATTGAGCAGCATGCAATAAATCCTTCAAGATCTACTCAGCTCTTTCCTAAGTAGGGGCACAAACTATATCCTGCTTGTGTTATTCTGCCTTTTCCTGCAAAAGCTCTGAACAAAGCAGGATTTGGTTAAAAATAAAACTAAAGATATAGTAGTTTTGTTAAGTTGTAGGCTTTGTTATTTGCTGGAGTTGTTTCTAGCTGAAAATGAAGTGCAAATTTCAATCATAATAATGTGACCCGGCTAGTTTATTTGTCAATTTGATGGCAATGTTATGTGTAGCCAAGATGAATCTTAATTTAATTTATTACTTAACAAGATTAAGATATGCTTAGAAATTACATTTTCAAGAATAAAGAGAAAAAGGCTTTTTAAAAGGATAATTTTTCAGACCTTTCACTAAGCAGAGGTTTCTGGACACTAGCAGACCATGGATTTACAAACTGTGCTTTCATTTTTTGCAGTTAACACCACTTCTTCACTTGTGTGCAAGTAGGCCTGTGATGGCCCTGTTGAAGTTTTAGCAAGGCAGGTCAGAAAGCAGCTTGGCAAAACCAATGAATGCTATTTGAATGTTATTTATTCTCTATGCAACCTGACAGTACGCAAAACACAGGTTGAATGGAGATATGAGTATCCATGCGTAGTGATGTACAAATACCCTTAAATGATTCATTTCTGGATCCTGAAAAATGAGCTTGTGGACACCACTGGCCATATTTTATATGAAGTATTATCAAAATCAAATGTGCACCCATTAAATTGCACCTAAAATCCATGAAATAAAAAGGATACCCAAACTTCAAGATTTTAATACAAACATGCATTTTTAAAATTTTTCCTACCTCACTCTGTCTGATTAGAGATGATGTATGTACAGCTGGCTCATTGGATCACTTATTCCCTGGGAACACTTGTCCTCAAGGATATGGCCTCATTCTGTGCATGCATGAATAAAATGAGATCTGTGTTTAAACAGAATTGAAGCAGCTGCAGTTGTTAACAGGAACCTTAAAAAACAGAGTCGGCTCTATTAGCTTTAAAGAATGAATTTGGTCTTGAAGTCGATGATAATGGGAAATTTCACATGAATGTCAATAGTTAATGGTCAGAGTCCTTTTTTTTTTATTATTATTTAGAGGTGTGTTATGTCCCATAATACTCATTTGGCTGAGATTTAAAGCAAAACTTGCAGTTTTCTGTGGCACATGTCCTGCCTTCCTCTGCTACTGTACTTCACCTAAGAACAGAGTGAGTTTCATTCCTATAAATATGTC